CCGGGCATCATCTGCTGCATCATGTTCATGGGAGCTCCGGCCGTGCCCGCTCCCGGCCCCGTCGCACCGGCCGTTCCCGGAGCGGTCGCGCCAGCTGTCGGTGCTGCTGGGCTGGTCATGCCAGCAGGAGCCCCTGACCCAGCCATGCCGCCCATGCCGCCCATGCCACCCAGGGCGCCCAAACCCCCCAAGCCACCCAAACCCCCAAAGCCGCCCATGCCACCTAGGCCACCCAAGCCACCAAGACCACCCATGGCACCTAGGCCACCTGGCGCACCCAAGGCGCCTGGCGCACCCAAAGCGCCTGGCGCACCCAAGGCGCCTAATCCCGCCATGCCCCCTGCCGGGCTGGCGGCTGCAGCTGGCCTCGGAAAAAACGACGAAGAAGCTCACAACGTCTGTCGGCTTTTCGTGTCTGGGTTTCCGGGCGCAGGCGTGGCCGCGGGGGTGTTCGCGGCCGGCGTCGGGCCCCATGGGTTGGGCAGCGCCTGCCCGGACATCCCATGGCGCAGGTCGTCCAACATGTCATGCAGCCCCGAAATCGGCCTCACTGCTGGGTCCGGAGCTAGTGTCCTGCGAGTAGTCGACCCTCGGTCGCAAACGCGTGAACCGCACCGGCGGCAACATCTCAGAGGTTGCTGGAGGAGTACTTGACGTTCTCAGCTCACCGCGCTGTCGCGTTCCCGCCGCTGGCGCTGCTGCCTCCTGGAATGAGCGGTGGGGCGAGGTCTGCAGGTATATGAAGGGGCGCGCGACATGCGAGCGCCAGACACAAGTCGGTGTCGGTCGCCGGCCTCCTGACATGGCCTCAAAGAGCGGGTCCGCAAACTCCTCGTGAGCTCGCACCTGCGCCCAAACAGAACGAGAACGAGAGAGCAACAGTGGCGGAAGTCCCCCCCGGCCAGCGCGTTGTGACCGCCCGGCATGGCGTCGAGCTGGCCCAAGGCGCGATCTGCATTCCTGGCGACGTAGGATCGCTTCCTGTTCACCCCCACTCGTGTGTGGACAGTCCTGGTCATTTCTCGCATCAGCGACGGATTGGCAACCATGCGCATGGACTGCTGGAGCAACTGCACGGGCGTTGGCACGTGCAACTAGAAAAGCACGGGAGCTGGCGCTAGCAACGTCTGTGCCTCCGGATCCTCCAGCATCCTGGCGATCCTCGGCATTACTTTCGTCACTGTAGGGAAGCCAGGGACAACAGAGGACTCGATGGCGTCTGTTTAGCCTGGGCTCTCCGGTCGCTGCTCCATGAGCTCGTTGAGCTGCGGGTTCATGCGAACCATCGTCCTGCAGCCGTGGGGACGGAGGGGGGGGGCGGGTTTGCCCAGGCGCAAGACCGAGCCAAAGAGGCCTCAAAACCTCCGGGTTGCTCATCATCTGCTGGACCATGGGCGAGTTCATCAGCTGCTGCCTCGGCCGACAGCCTGGTACCCCTTTCACACACAGCCCATCAGCCCCCAGCATCATCTCTGGATTCTGCATCATCTGCTGTTGAGTCTGCGCCTCGGCACGCACTGCACTCGAGAAAGGCGCGAGGCGATCGCGAGGCGCAACCCTCGAAGCGAGTC